TTTTTTTTTTTCCAGGGGGTTTAATTGGTGTCATCTTAGAAGGATGCCAGGAGGGCAACGCGAGGGAAAGGCCACTCTCGGAGGCAGCGTTTCGTTTAAAGGCCTTTAGTCTTCTCCAAAGTCGTCTTTAGTCCTGGGATCCCATTTGCCCAATGGCCACATGTAGCTGCCAAGTGCTGTCACTGCTGAAATGTGAGTGCTTAGGGGGACAAAATAGCCGTAAATCTGCCATATAGATAACCAAAAACACTTCAGTTGGGCCTTGCTGAGACCTGCTGGCCTACCCGTGCGCTTTGCTCAGGCCGGGCTGGCTGCAGGATTAGTTACGGAGGGCAACAAGGCAGCGAAATACAGCGAGGGCGAACGGAGCAAGCGGCGCGGGGGATTAGGAGACTGTCACACAGAGGCAGAGCCGCTCATCCTCATTCCCTGTGCGTATTCACGTGCAGCCAGCCATCCGCTCGCCTCCGGGGGGCTGGGGGCTTCCCTCGCCTTCCCGCTTTGGAACGGGCAGCGCAGGGGACTGATGGGTTTTACACACAGTGACGTGGGCGGTGGATGCTGTGTCCACCATGTATTCGTTATTATTTACTCGTTTATTTCTGCTCTGCGGAGCTGGCAGCCCCGTAGCCACTGCGGGGTGTCCGCAGAGCCGCCCGGCTCATGGTCGCCGTCCTTGTCGGACCGGCCTCGGCGCCGCCTGCCCTCAGGTGGCCGCTCATCACCTCCCAATCCCAGCGGGTCGGGCGGGTGTTTTAAGGCCCCTTCATGTTTCTGCTCTCCCTGGGACAGGGAGCCGAGGCCTAGGCACGGCCCGGTGAGGTGTCACCGCTGGGGGTGACACTGAGGTGTCAGGCTGCTCCGTCCCGGCAGCCTCGCTCGCATCCTCATTTCCTCATGAGTTTCCCCTTTTTCCAGGCGCCCAAATGACAAATTCCTGTGGGGACACCAGTGAGGACGGGCATTGGTGGCCCCTGGGCGAGGGGAGCCCCCAGGCCCGGTGGCCCCGCACCCCGGGAGGGTTTCGGCCCTGCCGAGCGCGGCCTGCGGTGCTCGGCGGCGGCGGCGGTGGGTGCCCTCCCGCGGCAGCACCCCAGGGCCCAGCCCCGCTCTGCGCCCCGGCACCGGCACGGGCACACTGGGGAGCACTGGGTCCCTGTGCGGGAGCACTGGAGCACACTGGATCCATGTGCAGATGCACTGGCTGGATGCACGTGCACACTGGGGTGCACTGGATCCATGTGTGTGTGTACGGGGCACACCGGATGGATGCATGTGCACACTGGAATCCACTGGCTGGATGCGCATGTACACTGGGATGCACTGGATCCGTGTGCAGGTGCACTGGAAAGGTGCATGTGCACATTGGGACACACTGGATCCCTGTGCGGGTGCACTGGCGGGACACGTGCACACCAGGACACACTGGCAGGACATGCGTGCACACTGGGATGCGCTGGTGGGACACACGTGCACACTGGCAGGACACGCGTGCACACTGGGATGCACTGGTGGGACACATGTGCACACTGGCGTGACACACGTGCACACTGGCGGGACGCACATGCACATTGGGATGGACTGGCGGGACACGTGCACACTGGTGGGATGCACATGCACACTGGGTCGCACTGGCGGGACACATGTGCATACTGGGACACTCTGGCAGGACACACGTGCACACTGGTGGGACGCACATGCACACTGGGATGCACTGGTGGGACACATGTGTACACTAGCAGGACACATGTGCGCACTGGTGGGACACGTGCGCACTGGGTCGCACTGACGGGACACATGTGCACACTGGTGGGACGCACATGCACACTGGGTCGCACTGGCGGGACACACGTGCACACTGGTGGGACGCACATGCACACTGGGATGCACTGGCGGGACACACGTGCACGCCGGGGTGCGATACGCTGCGTACTGCACATTTACATTTAAACAAACTGTGTGTTCGGCGCTGCAAAACGTGACAGTGGAGCACAAGTGGGTTTGTCTCGTGGGGGGAAAAATGGGGAGAAAAGATAAAGTTCCCGCGGAAATGAATTTCTCCCGTCCCTACTCGCCCCGCCCCTGCTCGCCTTGACCACGCCCCCTCGTCATGACCACGCCCACCCCAGCTAGCCACGCCCCTCCATCTTTGGCCACGCCCTCTCATTGGCACCCTCCCCACCCGCCTTAGCCCCGCCCCTCAGTCCTCCAGAGCATAGCGGGCAGGGGGCGGGGCTCCGGGGCGGAAGTGACGCGCTGCGGCGGGACGGATGTGACGCGTTGCGGCGGCCGCCTCCTCCTGCGCGGGAGGCCGTGCGGCCGGGGGGAAGATGCCGGTGGCCGTGATGGCGGAGAGCGCGTTCAGCTTCCGCAGGCTGCTGGAGCAGTGCGAGACGCAGGAGCTCGAGGTGCCGCCGGGCCGGGCCGGGCCGGGGCGCGCGGGGCTCGCGGCGGGGCTGCNCTCTGCCGCCGCGGGGAGCAGCGCGGCGGCCTCGCCTGCGAGCCAACTGGGGGGCCGGCGAGGAACAAGCCGCCTTTCACGTGCTGCCAGCCGCGGGCACTCGGGGCGCCCCTTCCCTCTCGCCTCAAAGAGGCCTTTGTCACACGTCCTGTGCGCCTGGCCCGGGAGCCAGAGGCGCTCTTGTTATTTACCGCCCGCCTCCCCTTCCTCTCCCTTCCCCCTTTTTTATTTTTCGCCGTTCAGCGGCGGCGAGCGGAGCGCCCTGCTGCCGCCCCCCCCCAACCGTCGCCTCCCCTAACGGCCGCCGCGCGCCCCCTCCGCGGCGCCGCAGGCCCAGCCCGGCGGAGCCCCCCGCCCAGGCCGGGCCGGGCCGGCGAGGAGGCAGCGGGCAGACAAAAACGCCAAGCCCGCAGCGCTGCCGCAGCGGCCCCACGGCCGCACAAAGGCGGCGAGCCGGGCACAGCATCCCCGCCGCCTTCGCGCATCCCCGCGGGCGGCGCCGGCGCCTCCCTTACCTGGGGCAGCTCCGCGCGGGGCTGGCGGCGGCGGCGCCTCTCTCACATCCTCCTCCTCATGCCCCGGCTCGGCTCCGCCGCAGGGGATCCCCCCCCCGCCCCGCTGCCCACAGCGGTGACAGCGGCAGCGACAGCGGGCGGCAGCTCCGGGCTCCCGCTCCGCCCCCCGCCCCGGAGCGGCTCTGGCGGGCGGAGGCAGGGAAGGAGGGCGGCACGGGAAGGGCACAGCCGGCGGGGCGGCTTTGTGCGGCGGGCAGCGCCGCAGCCGTGCGGGCTTCCCCCTCCCCGCCGCCACGAGCGGCTGCTGCTGCTGCCTCCGCTCCGCTCGGGCGAGCGCTGCCTCCCTCCCTTCCTCCCTCCCACGGGGCTCCTGACAGATGGCGCAGCCGCCGCGGCCGCACGAAGCCGGGAGCCGGCACCCCCCTCCCCCGCCCGCCGCGCCCCGCCGCGGGGGCGGCTCCGGACTGACAGCGTCGCCCGCCTATGGCGAGGCTCGGCCGATTAACGCCCCTTAATTCGCCGCCGGGGTCGGGCTCGCAGCGCTCCGCAGCGGGTGTAGTCGGCGCGGGGTTGTTGTTACCCGGAGTAATCCGGGGAGCGCTTGCTCAGGGTGCTGTAGTCGTAGGTTGGTAATAAATCCTGGAGAAACGGTGGGAAGGGTGGTTGGGGACGGCAGTGTCTGCTCAGTGGCACCGCTAACTGCCTGCTTTGGGCTTGGGTCAGCCTATAAATCCACACATAAGCAGACCAAATAGCTGCCTAATTGGCTTCCCGTGAGTGCTTGCTGCACGAGTTCTTCATAAGTTGTTGAAAGCTTATGGGAAATCTCCCCAGCTTTTAAGCAATTATGAGCTTTCAGAGTTTTTGTAGTTGTCTTGTAATGCCTCTTTGCTACCTGTGTGCTTTGCTTGGTCTGCTGGAGTGCTATTAAGGTCAAAGCCGGACTGGTTTTTGTTTAAGAAGGGCAGTTCAAAGCAACTTTGAAAGGAGGAGCTTTGCCCCTGTGGAGTGCCCTGGGCTCCACAGGAGCCCCGCAGGAGCGGGCAGAGGTTGAGCAGAACGTGGTGGGGCTCCTGTGTGCCAGGCCCACCCGGGGGTGGGGAGATCCCAGTGGGATGGTCTCCGTCGGAATGAGCTCTAGCAGTGTCGTGACGGATGTTGTTTGTGCACAGAACATAATTCAGCTTTCTAAGAAAAACTTCTGGCGTGTTCAAGTTACTTTTCACCTTAAGATACAGCAGTTATGGTGCTCAACTGTGATCATTTGGCTGCAGCCATTATCTGATGTGTAAAGCAGCATTTCTCTTCCCTTTCGCATTGGGTACAGCTGCTTGGTGTATGTGTCTTGAGATGCCTCGCTTTTCAAGTCTGTAACCAAACTACTGTCCTTGCTTTTAAGGCCCCTGGAGGGATTGCGACGCCCCTGGTTTACGGCCAGCTTCTAGCCTTGTACTTGTTGCATAATGACATGTAAGTGGTTTTTATGAACCTTTAACTTCAGATACTGAATAATATATTGATATTAAGCTCATTACCAGAATCCTGGCAACTCTAGATCAATCTGTTGGACTAACAAAATACACTTAGGGAATGTTATGTAAAAATAAATGTAGGTAGAAACAAACAGTAAGTCTTTCACTTTATTTTCTAAGTGTAACTGTCATCCTTTACTTTTGCCCTTGCCTATGCTTTTAGGGAAGCATACTTTAGAAAGAAGATTATTTAAATAGTGAGAGTGGCTTTTGTGGAAGGCACTGAGTGCTCCCATGTTTTGCTTTGTGCCTTTCTAAGGCTGTTTGGTCTGAGTGTCACTGTGCTGCTGCTTGTGGCTAGAGATACTGCAGGACAGCTTTAAACTTTCTAAGGTAAATGTGAGGGACACAGGTTGTACTTTAGACATAGAAGGAGGTTTTTGAACACCCTAAACACTAAAGCTCCGGATTTGTGACGAGTTACAGCATCTGAACAAACCTTTTGAAGTCTCTTTGCAGCAGACATTTGATTACAGAGAAGTTTTTTTTTTTTTTTTAGGAATAATGCACGATATCTTTGGAAAAGAATCCCTCCTGCTATTAAGTCTGTAAGTACTTTGTAAAATGCCTTTTGAATCATGTGAATGCCATCTCATCTAAGCTTGCAGATGGCTTTTTCCTCCAAGGAGTGTGTTTGATCACTGATTTGGGAATCAGTGCTGTGCTATAAAGCACTTGCCCAGCAGATGGCACGCCAGCCCTTCTAAGATTTAGTGCAGTTAGGTATTTGTCATCTCTTTCCCTTTCCAAATTATCTGGCAAAAAAGGGATTCAGTAGATCAGTGAGGCTTTTGCTGGGAGGCTTCCTCATAGTGTAGTCAGCTGAAGAGAGAAAATGGCTCCCTTGGAAATGAAGAAGAACTTCAGATAAGTTACAGCTTGAAATAGTCTTTTTTAAGGCACATTGTTTTTTCTTGATGAGTGCATGGTTTTGAGGTGCTTCTCTAGAATAACATGCAGCAAAGCAGAAGGAGTTCTTAAAACTAGCAGTGGCAAGCAAGTTATAGTGTGAGTATGGCACCTTACTGCATGAGGCATGTGGTCAAGTGTTCTGGTATTTCAAGCCAAAAACTCTTTATTGTGCAAATAACACCAGTGCTGTAAGGTGTAAAGCCTCTGTGTTGAGATGTTTATCTGTGAGGTGAGAATTAGCTATGCCTGTGTTTTTGCAACTTCAGCACAGAGTCTGAGTGCAAATTGTCCTCTACTTTGGCCAGTATGCCATCTGTATTTGTACCTCTGCCAGGTGAGCAGAATTCCATTAAACTCCGTTGACAGAGCGGGAGAACTTCTGGCAGGAGGGTGGAAGAGGGAGTGTGCAGCACTGACAGCTGCTAGAGCAGCTAGAGCTTGTCTGCTCCTCTGATACCTGCTTGGTCTGAATTCTGATACCTGCTTGCTGCTGCAGAGGAAGGGAGAAAATATGAATTTTCTACAGGATGGTCACTGTGGAGAATGCACAGTTCTGGGCTAACTGGTTGTTTTTTCACTCTAGGCAAATGCTGAACTTGGTGCAGTCTGGTCAGTAGGACAAAGAATCTGGCAGAGGGACTTCCCAGGAATCTACACAACAATCAGTGCCCACCAGTGGTCTGAGACTATCCAGCCCATCATGGAAGCGCTTAGAGGTACAGCCTGAGCTCCTGTAGCCAGCGTGTCTTGAGGGAGTGCGGTGTGCTCTGCACAGACTGCTGCTTAGCACTGAGGGTAAAAGTCACCCTGAATATCACTGCCAAGTCTGTTTGAGATACCAAATGTAAATAAAAGCTTATCACCAAAAGTTCCCAAGCATAGATTGAAATGCTTTTGCTTGTGCATATGTGATGACATTCTTTTGTATTGCAATGTCATGTCAAAAATATTCAATTCTGTAATGCCAAAATAGATTATTATTATCTAGTTTTTGAAAAGGAGTCTAGGGAAGTTGGCTTGGCATTTCCAAAAGCAGTACCAATTAAGGTCTAATTACTTTGATTTGACTTAGACCATTTTTTGGTTGTTAAGAGTGTGTAACAGTAACATGCAAGTAAATCTTCTCACTACTAGAGGGTGCTAGAGACTGCAGAAAAAAAGCTTGTAAGCGGTCATACAAGCCTTTGTATAACAATATGCTTTGCACAGCTTGAAGAAAAGAGAAATGATTTATAGATGCTGTGGTATCAAAGCAGCCATAGAGAATAGTTGCTGTGAACTAGAATTGCTTTCCTTCCATTAATTCTTATAGTTCTGAACTAGTGTAGAAGTGCAAGCTTTTCTCGGGCTGTGACTCGAGTGTTGAGTGCTGTCAAAGCAGTGTTTCCCAAACTGTGGTTTACGTATTGGCAGTTGGACCAGGCTGCTGCAGACTGTGCTTGGAAGTCCCCCCCTGCCTCTGAGGAAGGGTTGTCCTGGCACAGAGTGGGCTGTTGTCTCTGACTGTGACTGTGGTGGTTGAACAGACTGTGGGAAGGGAGGGGGAAACTGCTGGTCTAAAGTGTAAATGTCAAGGCCAGTAGTGGCTTTTCAAACAGATTTTTTTGTGTGCTGTTTAAACTGGAAATGTTTTCTCAGACTTTCTGGTTCTAGAGATATCATGCTACTGTGTTTATGGTGTTTTTCTTAGATGCAACTAGGAGAAGAGCCTTTGGTCTGGTTTCTCAGGCATATACCTCAATCGTTGCAGATGATTTTGCAGCCTTTGTTGGGCTTCCTGTAGAAGAAGCAGTGAAAGGTATTTTGCATTTATTTGTTGTGTAGTTTTTTCTGCAGAGAGCTGGGAAAAAAGATGTAGCTGTAAATGATTGTAAAAAGAAACTATAATGAAGAGAAATGATGGGATAATAGAGATAATGGCTGAATTTTGAATGAGTGTTTGATCTTTGTTTTGCCATATTTACTACTGCAAGATAGTAGTAAATATCTCTCTAAAAAGTATTGAGGAATTTCAGCAATGAGGAATGTAAAGGTACATTTGAATTAGTCTTACGTGTTACTACTTTCATGAGTTTCATTATCGAAGTTAATGTGCAAATGTTTATCAGAAATAGACTGTGAACTTGCGGCGTGTAGGTAGTGTACTGGGATACTTTTCTACTGGTCTTAGTATACAACTTTATTTTGCATATCTAGCAAATGTTACAAGGTTAGTTTGTTCTTACAAATGTAACAAATGCCTTTCCAGGTGTCTTGGAGCAGGGCTGGCAAGCGGACTCTTCAACCCGTATGGTAATGCCTAAAAAACCTGGTAGGTGGAGCTGCTATTTCATGATAAGTTGAATTTGGCATTTTCCAGTATTTCTGGGTTAGCTTAATTAAAGTTATACTTAATACTTTTTCAGTTACTATTACGCATAATTATGCAGGTGTTAAATGTGGAATGTTTGTGAAATGTGAGAAACACCAGTTTTAATTTGGTGTTACAAACATTAGAGAGTAAACCAGATCCCCCATTACCATTTGAAACAAAAGCAGACAGGATATGCTATAACTTTTGCTGCTCCTCCTCTGCTGCTGGCTCTGGTTCAGTGGAACAGAAGTTGGATGACCTCAAATGACATATCTAAATTTATTAAAGATGAGTAAAAAGTACCACTTTGAACTTGCAGACTTTTTTAGGAGAAGCTGAATTTTTTTAAGCAGGTATCTAGGGGGTCTTTCTGTGTTATGAAAGGTTATGTTGTTGGTATAATTTGCTTTTAAAAACTTCCTTTTTGAACAGTTATAGTGGTGCTAAAATCTGTTACTACAAAATTCAGCCTGGAAAATGCAGTATCTCTGGCTGTTTTCTCCTTGAGATAAAATGAAAATGTTAAACTCTGAAGGCAGAGATGAAATGACCATCCTTAAATTCCAGAGTTAAGCTTTGGAAGGAGGAGCCAGGCTCTCCTTCGTTCAAAAGTGCAACATCTATTAGGCTGAAAAAGAAGAAAGCCCTAATGTTTGTATGGGCAGAACTTTGAGGTTTTCGGAGCCCAGAACATGGAATTAAACGTGCTCCAGGCAAGGTGCTGAAATTCATTTCTCAGGGGCGTGTTACCAACTGAAGTTCTGAGCTGTTGCTGCTGATCAGCTTTTTTCATAAGCTGGTTGCAGAATATTGTGCTTACAAGTACTTAGAGCTAATTGCTTATGGTTGTTTTCCAAAAGTGCATGGAAGAACCATCACTGAAACGAATGAAGGAGGCAGGAGGCCTCTTAGCTCTGAAGCTGCGTGGCTAACTTCCTAAGCCTTAAGTTTTCCTGCCTATTTTAGCTATGAGGTTAAAACATGGAAAATGAGCAGGCTAAATTTTAAATAGCTTATTAGTTTTGGTGTGGCCATATATAAATACTTAAAATTGTTCCACTAGGCTAATTTCTTATTGTTTTTTCTTCAGGTGCACTGGAAGCTTGCTTTAACAGATTTATTCCTTCTTCAGGTACTACTTGTTTCTATATAAATCTATCTGCATATATTTAACCCTTGCATGACTTGAACATAAATAAACTTTGCTGACACTACAAAGTAGGAAGGGGGTCATAGAAATATCATTCCCATCCCACCATAAGAAGCCTCAGTCAGATGTTACTTATCTTGCTTCTTCCTCAGTTGTCTTTGTCACAGATAGGAATATGCCCGTGAGTCCTGGGTTCTTAGGTACAGTAGAGAGCAGGTTTCAAAGCAGGGGCTGGCAGCCTCTGGAAATGAAGGATTTTTCTTGGCCAAAACTTTTGTCCTAAAGGCAAATAAGCGACTCATAAAACACTTCTTTCACAGGGAAAACTTCAGAAAAGCATCTTCTGCTTTTGCCACCCTTCCTCAGAGCTCCACCATAGGTTAAGCTGTAATGTTTTTTCATGCTGATGCTCAGAACCCTGTAGTCTCCAGGTATCAAAGTAAGATAGTGGTACTAAGTCCAAACTGCTGGTTTGCAGTGCCTAATAAAGATGCCCCTGTTGTCTTCCACCCCTGGGAGGCTTAACTGCAAGCTGTTTTGAAGAGCCAGGGTTTTGCTTTATGAAACTCTTCTTTTAAGTGTCAGTTTTCTATCTTTCATGTTTTTGGACTGCATTTAGTGTAATTATATTCTGGATATTAAAGCCTGTTGTGTTTGCAGGAAGAGTAAACAGTTTCCCTCGTATTTTATTTCTGGCTTTAAGTCCTGACTTAGCTCCCTGTTATAGTCACTTGCCTCGCAACCTTTCCTTAAGGTCTCGAGTTATCTGTTTGTATAAGATCCAGCACGTGCACTGCTGTCTCCTGCAACCTGCACAGTTTTCTGCTGTGTTTTGTTAGCCAGATCATCTGGTAGTTATATTTTCAGTGTGGGAACTTAATGGAAGGATACAGCAAAAGAGTTGCAGGAGCTTTTCTGTTGAGATGCCGTTGCTTTCACTTTTTCATTATTTACAAGAACTCCTTGTACTACAGATGCAGCATATGCCAATTTGGAAGGCTGCTGAAAACTGGAATTTGATAGAAACATATCCTATATTAGCAACTCTTAGTCTAAATGTGAATAGTAGAAAAGTAGTCTGGTTGCCAAGCCTGTAGATAAAGGAGGGCAGGGTTAAGAACTGTCCCCATGTCTTCAAGCATGAGACTAATAATTAGTCTGCATTTTTTTCCGTACTGGCTTGCTGGGTGGTGCCAGGCACTGATTTGTTTTCTTATTTTCATTTGTGTTGTGTGTTTGTTTTCTTTGTAGAACCTGCTCCAGTTCCTCCAATTCCAAATGAACAACAGTTGGCCAGATTGACTGACTATGTGGCTTTTCTTGAAAACTGATTACCCTGCTCCTGTGTTCAGAACAACTTGGGAATCCTGTGTACTGACGGAGTTCTAGAAATCTAAGACTTATTTTGTTTCTGTTAAATGTTGCAGCATCCCCTATTGAAATATGTAAAATATACAGTGTATTTTATCTAGTTTGTTTTGCCAAAGCCAAGTTAGTAATTGAAAAAAATCCATTGACTCCTGTAATATTTATTTGGTAGGTACACAGCAGTATTACATGGTAAGTTTTTTTTATTGACTTGTAGCCTAGAAAGGCATGACTTTTTTCAAGTATATGAAAAATGCAAAAGAGGAGCTTTGAATATTGAAGCAGGTTAACTGTGTTTGAGGGATTTGTGCTGGTGGATTGCTTGGTTCTATTGCAAGTAACTGCAGTATCACAGGTGAATTGCATCTTGAATGCAAGTGCAAAGAGGGCAAGACTGTCTCACCTGTATCTGTAGAAAGGAAACAGTGATGTAACAACTTTATATAAGAAACCAGTTTGCAGTAACTTTTTGCAGGTTTGTTTTTTGGTATTTTGATAACTTTCTCGCTTGTTTTTCTGGATTGTTAAATCTTTCTTGTTTTGATTGAATTGAGAAAATTCTTGGGTTTTTTTTTTTTTTTTTTTTGCAGCACAACATTGTGTAGGGGGCATCTTAAGGATAATTTTTAGAGTTATTTCAGGAAGGCAGAGATTCACTTTGAGAAAGCACTTTTATTATTGAAGGCTGTACTTTTGAGTGATTGCACGTTGGACATCAGATATTTTGCTTGGTAACATTATCCCTTCCTCAAGGCTGTCATGTCATGGTTCTCAAGTTCTCTGGGCCAGGGTCTACCAGAAGCAGCTCTGATCTGTCTTGACTTTCTGAATTACCTCTGTCATTGGGAAGGAATTTAAAAATTAGAGTAGGTGTCCCGGAGTAGAAGCCAAACAGGATGGAGATGATATTTTATGCTGTTTTTTATGCTGCAATGTCAACTTGAGTAAATTTCCTGTAACAAAGCACTGCTGCATTCATGTTTGAGTTCAGAGTGGACTTCAGACGCAGGAAGAAGATGACATAGATCCCCAGGCTTCTTTTGATAAAAAGACTATGGGAAAATAGTGGCATTTTAAAGGGCAATGCTTGCCTTCACTGGCCTCTCCTCCTTCACTTGGCTTTTCAACTTGGTATTTGGTGGCTTGTCAACGAAGACGTCGCGTGTGCTGCCTGTGCTGGCTTCCCAGTGTGCACAACCTACTGTACGTTCTCCTACTGGGGGATGTTAGTGAGGAGGAGGTCTAAACTGTGCATTGCTGCTTTGAAAGCTCCCTTTATATGTAAACACTTACTCCAAGTGGTTATTTATTTGAAACCCACCTAGACTTGGTCTTCTAAATATGATGCAAATTCATTTTCACTGATATTAAAGAACACGTTTATGCTGACCTTGTGTGCCTGTTCTTTAATCCTCTTGGTACAGTTGTTCCAGTTTGGCTTAATGGATTTCAGTTTCTTAATGGATTCTACTAATTGTCTAATTTGGACTGGTTAAATATTAGTGCACTACCCTATGGTGGGACAGTATTTAAAGCAGTTGCATATGCAGAGATTGTATGAGTTGTATTACAAAAAGGTGGTATGATTCAGATGTTTTGTACATTATTGAAAGGCATAAAGTATTTGAACTAAGAACACTTCCCTTTTTTGTGTATAAATGTATATTTTGCAAGACCTGTGAGCTTTCACTGCACACAACAACAAGTCTTACAACAATGAAGGCTAGACTTGATTAAGGGATAACCCTTCTGTTTCTGTTTATCCTATTCTGGTTTTTGTTTCGAGTCTAAGCTCAAAACTTCAGGTTTTTATCTTCGCTGTTCTCTGTATGGCATCTGGCTCTCAAATATTTCAGAGCTGGAGCACTTGCTAGCGCTCTCGCTAGTGGAGCAGTGGCTGTAGCATGGCTTGGTGCACTGGCAAGACCTGTTCTGCTCTTCTCGATCCCTCCTAGGCCTGGCTCTGTTTTAGCAGCTCCTAAGTGCTGTCCTGGTCTGGGTACAGGAGTGACAGTGATTTCAGTATCTCTCCTTGGCAGCTGATTAGCATGCATGTTAATGTTTTCTCTTTACTAATAGAGACTTGCTCACCCTGCTGTCCATCAGTTAGTGTATTGATGTTAGGCTGAAGTATCACTTGACAGGTCTTAACCTGTTGCCCATGATAATGTGATACAATTGGCTTTACAGGAATTACTGCTGCAAAGCAGTCGTGAGAAGTTTAAGCAACTCTTTTGACCTTTGAGCTCATAAAGTCCAATTTCTATGTTTTTCTCCATAAGCTCTTAAAATTATTGAACCATTTTATCAGGTAGCTGACTTTATCATCTGGTTCAGAGTAGCTATAAATATGAAATTATATTCTATTGGGCAGCTTATTGTCATCCCCTATGACATGACACTGTCCTGAGTGATTTGGTTTCTGAACTTCCCTATGTCATAGATGACTTGCAAAATGAGAATGATGGCTGCTTTGAAGTCCTGTGAAAAGATGGGCATTTGTTTTAAAATCAGATCAAATAATTTGAAGTTACAGTTACAGATAACTAGGGCAATTCACAATTTAATGATGGAAGATAAATGTATTTCAGTATTAGCAAGTGATCAGTCGGTAGAAAGAAGGATGTTATTGTGTCTGATGGTGTTATAGTGTCTAATAAAAATTAAATTGACTTAATCATTCTCTGAACACTGTGAGAATCTGTCCATGGAGCTGCTATTTATCAGAAAGCAAAGAATTGCATTAGTTTGATATCAAAGGTAGGTGAGTCTGTTTCCCTTACAGCTAGTGAGTAGTCTGAATGCAGGAACAGTCTTTAGACTTGCTATAACTCAATTTATGGTCTTGAATCAGTGGTCTTGAATCCCTAATTTATGGTCTTGAATCCCTAAAGGGAGATCTTTGGACATTTGTCTGCTTACCTGGATTGCTTTAATCCTGTGTTGTTAGTTCAGCAATTGAGAAGGAAGGCCTTTGGTCACATTTGCTTTTCAATTGAAGGAGGAAATGTGTGTGTTGGAGTCCTTCCAGTCTCAGGAGTGGGGAGAACATTTGGATGTTAAGAATTCGAGTGGAAAAGTTTCTTGATGGACTTGGAGGGGGCAGAAATGCTGTTTGAATTTAGCATTTGAGTCTGCATCCCAGTTGTGATTCAGCATTGGACTCTTCACGTCACGTTAGTCTCTCCTGCATAGATCAGCAGTGGTCACTTAACCTCTAGTTCTGATCTCTGCTGAATATGCTTCAGCTCAGAGGTAGACTGTTCTCTTGGCTTAAGAAAGTGAGGTTATGGATGCAGAAGGGAAGAATAAACTTCCCTGTTGAAGAGCCTTATGAAAAACTGCCATGGGTTTAGCTCAGCAGGTTCTCCAGGATCTAATCCTGCTATACTTAAAGGAAAACATTTTTACTGTGGGCATAGCACAGGAATTGCACTGACCTAGCTGCAGTCTGCCCAGGGTGTTTTGGCTGAATAGATACCTATTTAGCTGATAGTCTTCTCTATTTTGTGGTCTGGTTGGAGTTTGTAAGACAGGGAAGGCTTTTCACACTGCTCACCTATGTGGTGTGTGCAGTGACGTGCCGCTGGCCACTACGGCTTCTGACACTGGAAGAGCTTTATGGACATAAAGGGTATCTGTTCAGCCTGGTGCTAACGATCCCTTGGGCAGTGCAAAAAGGACTAGTTGTGGTCTACGTTCATTCAGGGGATTTGTCCAAGCCCAAGAGAGATACTGCTGTGCTTTGGGGGTCTCATGAGCTTTTCCTCTCACTGTAAATCTCTTTCAGGGAGTCTCTCAAAAGAATGCTGAAGATTATTCAAGTTATTTATGAAAGCTCTAGGTGAGGAGAGAGCTGATGAGGAAAGCTTTTCACTGAGTCTGTATTTCAGCTGTGAGGAGTGCATGCAGTAAGGTGTCATGTAAGTAGTGGGAATCTGGAAAATACCTTGGGTGGGTAGTTTGTCCTGCCTGTGTCCTCAGCTGCTGGAGCTGGCTGGACTGTCCTGCATTCAGTGTGCTGGTAATTTCCCTCTGATCCTGGGAGGGCTCTTGGGGCTGCCTGAGCAATTCAAAGCCTCTGTTGCCTGGCTTCCAAGATTGAGAGAAACTGTTTTGAGGCCTTTGTAAGGGGTTAGAAGATACATATAATACATGCTTGATAATGTGCATATATGACTAAAATATGAAAGCAAGAGGAATACAGGAGTTCATGTAGAGTGAGCATAGTCTTACGGAGACCAGGGCTTACAGGGCACTGTGCAAGTCCACAGTGAAGCCTTCCAGTTCAGATCCCTGTTGACCTCACTGATCTGTTCCAGTTTACTTCCTTAAATGCCCATTTTCTGCTATGCAAACGCCTGGAAATTTTTCTTTATGCAGTTCATGACTGGTGAGCTTCTGGGAATCTGTGTATGAAAGCCAAAATCCGTCTGTTTGTTACAGTTCAGGATTTTTCTCTCTGTCAGAAAGGATGGAAGCTTAAAGCAAACAGATGTTCTACTGAGATGCTTCAAACTGCTGAAATGTTGAGGTAATAGTCTACTCTACTAATGCCAGCTCTCTTGAATGTGAGAAATGCTACTCCATGCTGATGCTGGGCCTTGTGGTTTCTTGTTGGAGGTGGTGCAGGAGTTGTCACTGGCCACCTTGCTGCTTCATCATTCCTGTGCTCTGAGGCTGTTCAGCTTGTCTGGAGTACCTGCCAACTGTGGCCAGCTAGAAATGCTTCCTAAAAAGAGCTCCCCCAAAGCCTTGCATTTCTTAAGTGTTAAACGGCTCAAACAAAATAGGGTTTTACAGTTGACTGCCAATGCATCATGGCAGCAAGTGAAAAGCGAGGCAAGTTACTAGTTTGTAATGGGACGAAAATGTGAATATTTGGGATTCTCAGATCATACCAATTGGCCTAGAAAATCTTGACTTATCTTCGGGGCAATTCATTAAATGGTAAATTCTTGACCCTCCCAAAGAGCTCCATGTAGGGTACTAGGGACTGTGTGGCACAACTTGGTGTAAATGAAGTGAGAGAATCTATTAAACAATAGATATTGGGATGGTTGTAGTGGATTCTGAAGTATTACAGTGAATGTGAAGTTCAGGCATATGTTGCATGGGTTCTGAAAAGGATAAGCTTGGGAAGAAAGGAAGACTTCAGAAGCAGGAACTCGATTTCTTCTTTGTGAATCTTCTGTGATAGAATGACCAGTGCTGAACTAGTGTCTTTGTATTGTAGCAGCCCATAAAAGCCGAGACTGGTGAGAGCCTGTGATGAGGATCCATCTGCAGTGAAAGGACTTCTAGATCTCTGAGAACAGAACTTGACCTCTGATTCATAAGGCAGGATACACTCCTCTTTAGATAATTTAGATCTGGCAGATACTTGAGGTATGAAATCTTTTTTACTATCATATAAAATCGAGCCTTTCTTGGCTGATAGGCCATCTCTGGTGACAGTCCCCCTTATTTTTAAGATTCTTAAACACCAAATAGGAATATGACACTGCCTTCCCAGACTAATGGGGATCTTGCAATATAACTTGCAAAGCTAATGAAGTAGCA